ATGGCCAAGGGGTCCAGAATTGCCACTGGGGTTGCCAGTGGGGCACTGAGGTGTCATGTCCAACACTTCCCGGGCCTGATCGGGGTATGTCTGAAGCTCCTGACGCCCTACCCGACCTAAGGGAGGGAGACTGGGAGCGTGACGCCCAAGGAGAGGCGGTGCGCGAGTGCACCAAGGAAGGCACTGCGTCCCCTGATGGGTGCCGTGGGGAGTAGCGATACTCGTGTGGTGATCGGTGCCGATATGGAGAGCGGTGCCGTGAGGTCGATGGGTGCCGAGAAGTTGGATCTCACCTTGAAGGAGAGTTAACTTGAGAGAGTGACTGGGGCCAGGGCCGTGACGTGGAGCGGTGCCACGATGGAGACCGGTGCTGCGACACAGAGCGGTGCCACGAAGGGGAGCGGTGCTGTGGTTGACAGCTTGGAGAGGTGCGGTGCCACAACAGAGAGTGGTGCACAGAATGACGTCGGTCCAAGCGGTGTTGAGAGGTGTCAGAGCGCGACCTAGACCTCGAGCGGGACCACGACCTGTCAGCCAACGACCACCTCGAGCGGGAACGGCTCTGAGGATCGGGGCTGTGAGATCAGTGCCGCAAGTCAGACCGGCGCGTAGCATACGTGCGGTGCCGGGACTTGGAACGGCGCTAGGACTCAGAGCGGCACAGTGATGCTGGCCTGGGGGCAGACTGTCCAAACATTGCCGGTTTGCCCCTCAACAGTACCGGGGCTCGGGCTGGTGGAGGCGCAGTCATTTGAATGAGCCCTCTAGCAGCCTCAAAGGTATCCAGGGTGAAGGGCAGTGTGACCTCCTCCATTTGCAGGGGTTCTGGTGGTGCAGGGCTGCTTGGGGGACCAAGGGCCCATGCAGGCTGAGACCTAGTGGAGGGTCTGTCGGTCTTAGGGGCATGGTCCATACCCTGTCCTGCTGGGGCCGCGATGTCCGCTTCAGGCCTCTGAGGACCTCCCATGGCCCACTTTTTACGGGTGGCCGGGAGCGGTGCTGGAAGGGACACTTCTGGGCCCAGGGAGATGGTCGATCCCTAGGAGGGCGTGCCAAGTCCTTTTGCAGTTCTGTAGACGGCACCACTGGAGGAGCGCTCCACACCAAGGCGCTCTGGCCCGAATCTTGTGAAGAGCGGAGAGCAGACTCCATGAGGAGTTGCTTCAAGCGAATGTCCCTTTCGTTTCCTTTCTTATGCTGGGTTTAAACGCTTTGCGAATTTTACTCTTGTCGGCCTGGTGGGCCTCTCCCAAACACCAAAGACAGGAGTTGTGGGGAATTGCCCGTGGGCATAGACTTGCCGCAGAAGGTGCAGGGTTTGAAGCCCTGGGATGCCCAGGAGCCCCACGGGGAACTCGTTGAAGGGGAAGACCCCCTCCCAACTGCTATAAACTATACTTAACACTAGATGACAACTAACAATTAACTAAACAATGGTAACTATATACAGAGATGGGAAGATAGCTAGGGAGTAGTGGAGCACTTGATAAGAGACAACTGTTTCAACAACCGTCACTGGCGGTAAGAAGGATAACTGAAGGGGGGGTTGGGCCGGCAGGGTCATATATAGAGCACCATATCGGCACCACTCCAGGGGGCTCCACAGCCGCCCGGCGGGTAGCTGCTAGGGAAAAGTTTCCGACATCCATGCAGGCAGTATGTGCACACACCTAAGTGGAATTGATATGAGCAAGCACTCGAAGAAGAAAACTATGTTCTTAAAAGTCCAAACTACAAACATTTTTAGTATAGCTAAGTGTGATGGGGTGTTTCCCCACACAGGTGGTGAAATGGTCGATAGGGGCTTGCGAGCCCAATTAACACATCTGATTGTACTTGGAGGTTAGGCCAGGTTCAGTCAAAGAGGAGTTGCAGCTGGGAGAGGAGTTGGGTGGTTTCTATAAAGGGAGGATGCTCAGAATAGAAGGTGTATCAGAGTACTAGAGAGTAGAGGAGCTGCAGAAGGGAATTTACATCCCAGCCCTGATGGGAGAGGGCAGCAGGAGTGAAAGACTCTTGAAGTGGGCCTGAGAGAAGGCCAACCCACAGGCAGATGGCCTTGGGGGAAGAGTGGAGTGGAGTTCAGGATCCAGAGTAGGGGCAAGACTTCAGGAAGATAGCCCCTGAGAGTCAGCATTCTGCAAAAGAATGAAGAGCTAGGGATGAGCCACGATGGATTAAAAGTTCAAACCTGGAAAAGGGGCAGGAGGCTATGTCTTCTGTTTTGAGTTTGTGCGACCCTGGGAGCCACTCAGTGCCAACTCACAGAGGGCTCACCATACCGTGAGTCATATCAAGCCTGACACTCTGCTACCCATACCACATTGTTGTCATAACTTGTATCTAAAAGGGGTTATGTAAGGAATCATATGTAAACTGGTGACACCCTGGTCCCTAAAAATAAATAATAATTTAAAAAAAATCACTGCATGTTGTGTATAGTTGTGTGCGCGCGCCCTGGAAATATGTTCTTAAAATGTGTTTGAGAGGCAGTGCATACACCAAATCGGACAAAGGCTAGGCAAAGAAATGTGGATTGCCTGTCTGACTGGCTTTACTACAGGTAGTGGACAATGAAAGCACATTTACATATAAAAGGTAAACAAAGCTGTCAAGCTAATGAGCAGAGGAGACAACTTAGTGAGCTTATCAGGGGGACAAAATCTGCACCCCAGAACACCTTCATGGCTCTTAAGGCAGAGACCGTGGACTTTGGGTAATATAAAGGGAGCAAGACATTTAATTTTCCATCACTTAGGAAACAGAGGAAACTGCATCCTCTGATTCTGTGGAAGTTGGATCCTCTTGGCCTTAGCCACGGATAACTTGCTGTGAGAAACTGTTGTAGGCAAATATATAACTGCTAGACTTAAGTTTTAGAAAGCGTGTTTGTTTTGTTTTAAAAAAGAACAGGAGTACTTGTGGCACCGTCTTTTTCTCTTGCTTAGTATCACTCAAACCGCTGTTCTTATTAATAAACTTATTCTTGTTTTATTACAAAACCATCTCAAGGCTGTGTATTAAAGTGAAGTGTGTCTCTTCAGCTAACCTAGCTACCTGGTGGGTACACTGTCTCTTGGAGACAGCAAACTCAATAATTTCTATGTCACAGTGACACTGCAGAGAGACACCTCTAGGGGAAACACAGGAACTAGGGTTTACTGTATGTTACCTGCACAGCAGGTAGACTGATCGAGTCTTGAAAGGCAGACAAGCTGGTATGTCAGGGAGCTGACACACAGCTTAGCAGCAGCAAAGTTCTTGGCTGCTGAGGCAGACAGGTAGCACAGTGGCTTACAGTTCTGGGTGTCTTCAGCAGAACACCTCAGTTTGGTAAAGATTCCAAGGAGAAACCCCGGAGCCATTACTCTGACAGAAAAGTGGAAAGGAAGAAAAGCCTGAAGAGGAAGAAGATGTCGTATTGATGACTGGTGTCAGGTTGGATACTGTCTATTTGGGACGTTGATATCCAAGGAGGGAGTACACTTTAAAGTGACCTGGATGGAGGGCTATTTTGAGAAAAGAGACCACTCCAGGGCCTTAGCGGCTGTCAGCAGGGGGGACACAGTGATGGCAAGTGTATGGCACACACAGCTTCCACCGCTATATGCACAGCGGCCTCAAGAGACCTCTAAACGGGATCCTTTATCTGCTTATTTACAACAAAACCTCTGGGTACCAGAGATGGGAAATAAGTAAACGAGACATAGCCATGGATTTGCACCCCATTCTAACTATACAAGTCCCCTGTTTTCTTTATTCATCTGAACTAAAGCCAGTACTTTCCATCTTAGATTCTAGTCTTTTCTTTCCCCCCTCCAGCTTGCCAATCATTTTCTTCAATGTTTTACTTTGGAATCTACTGTTGAGCAGGAACTCCTGTCATAATTCAGCTTGCCCAACCATTTGAATGGCTTTGATAGCTAATAAAATGAAATATTGGCCCTTTTACTTAGTGCTTTTCATCCCATGAGTTCAGAACATTCTGCAGCGTTAATTGTCTCTTTTTTCTGGCTGGAAACAGAGAGGGACTGAATGTCAGAGGGACTGAGCACATACAAATCCAGTTGAAGTTGATAAAAGCTGAAGATAGTCCACACCTTTGAAAGTTAGGGCCTAAGTGTCTTGAATGGAGGTCACACAGCAAGTCAACAGCAGAAACTAGTGCCCTGTTGATTGGAATATGCAGCCTCAACCAATAAAGGGCCCAAACCAGAGTAAGGCTCCAACACTGTGGAAAAAATGCATTTCTAGGATCAGTGAGACAGTGCAGAGCCTTCTCCATAACACAAGAGAAGCTGCTGTGGAAGCTCTATACACTGCCGCACAGAGACGGGACGGGAAGTAGACGGGATGTTTGAAACACAGCCAGAAGATTTATATCCATTGTGGAATGGAATAGCAGGCCACATTCCCTGCAGAAACTGACTATAGGCTAGCTAGGTGGATTTGAAAACCCTGAGGAATGGGACAGGGATGGGTTTGAGGATACCCTCCCTCAGTGTTTCAGAGCAATTTCCTTAAACCTAAACCCATTTACTTAGGCTTTGCTCAATTTATAAGGATTCTGCCCTACAGGAAGTGAACTATGGTTTATTTCATGCCCCCAAAAGGCAAAACATCAACACAGTATAGGCACACACATGCCATATAGTGTCAAGTGCAATTTTTATTACCTGTATAGGAGGTACCGCACTTGGAAATATTCTGTGTCTTCTTTTGCTAACTCCGTGGATTCCAGTGTTACCAGTATTCCGCATAGTCTGCTTTCCTCCCCAAGTAGTTCCATAGGCTTCTGACAGATGACAAAGTCATCCGATTCATGCTGGGAAGAAAAGGCTGAAGGAACTTCATCTTTTACACCTTAAACAATTAAAATATTGTATCAGTTTTCCAAACCAGTACCATGCAAATCTTTACAGAAGAATAAAATGAGAGAGTGTTCAGTTAAATACTTCAAGGGCAGAGACGTAATTTGTATCAGCCTCAAACTGTAGGGATTCTGGTTTGCTAATAAAATTGTTGGTTCTTTTCAATCTTTAGAATGTTAGAGAACCTAAAAGTCCAGGGTAATGACAGAGAACAACTATATTTCCCAATATAGAGAAAGTGCAGTGTGATTGTTGGAGAAAAGTAGCAGATCTTTTATATAAACATTGTGTGGACATTCAGAAGTGTGTCTGCCCCAACAGAAGTAACACTTAGCTGAGAGAAGCAGCTAGAATGGAGTGCTGAATGTGGTCTTAGCATGGCTAAGCAGCAGTTCTGCAGAAAAGGACCTGGGGATTACAGTGGACGAGAAGCTGGATATGAGTCAGCAGTGTGCCCTCATTGCCCAGAAGGCCAATGGCATATTGGGCTGTATTAGTAGGAGCACTGCCAGCAGATCGAGGGAAGTAATTATTCCCCTCTGTTCAACACTGCTGAGGCCACACCTGGAGTATTGCATCCAGTTTTGGTCCCCTCCTCCCCCACTACAGAAGGACAAATTGGAGAGAGTCCAGCAGAGGGCAATGAAAATTATTAGGAGGCTGGGGCACATGACTTACGAGGAGAGGCTGAAGGAACTGGGCTTGTTTAGTCTGCAGAAGAGAGGAGTGAGGGGGGATTTGATAGCAGCCAGGAGGGACAGCTCAGTGGTTTGAGCATTGGCCTGCTAAACCCAGGGGTTGAGTTCAATCCTTGAGGGGGCCATTTAGGGAACTGGGGTAAAAATCTGTCTGGGGATTGGTCCTGCTTTGAGCAAGGAGGTTGGACTAGATGACCTCCTAAGGTTCCTTCCAACCCTGATATTCTGTGGACTACCTGAAGGGGGGTTCCAAAGAGGATGGAGCTAGGCTGTTCTCAGTGGTGGCAGATGGTCTCAAGTTGCAGTGGGGGAGGTTTAGGTTGGATATTAGGAAACACTATTTCACTAGGAGGGTGGTGAAGCAGTGGAATGGGTTACCTAGGGAGGTGGTGGCATCTCCATCCTTAGAGGTTTTTAAGACCCAGCTTGACAAATTCTTGGCTGGGATGATTTAGTTGGTGTTGGTCCTGCTTTGATTGGACTAGATGACCTCCTGAGGTCTCTTCCAACCCTATGATTCTATGATCACTTTTGCTCAAGCAAGTAGTGCCCAAAAGGACCTAGAAAGAGGTCTGAAATTGCCAATTAATTGTAAGTAACAGAACAACAACTACGGGCCTCCATCCCGTCATCTGAGGAAGTTCAGAGCCATCCTTGCAAGCTATGAGAAATTTAAATGGGAAACCTGTCAACTTGCCTTTTTGCTCTCCACACTACTGATTTAACTTTTAAAAATTCTAGTTTCTGATAGACCACCTTTTATACAATACAGCCTGAATTATTTGTATTTTTAAATTCCTTTTAAAATAAAAGATTTTAGGGCACCTTGTTGATGTTTATAGGGTCTTTTCAGCAACTGACTAGACACAAAAGCATTGAAGCTGACTATACACAAAGTGCTGACAAATATGCAAATATTAGTTCAGTCTTTTGCTTTGACTCTAGGCCCTGATCCTGCAAGCATTTATGCAAGTGCATACCTTTATGCATGTGAGTAGTCTCAACGAAGAACAGCTAAACATGTTTGCAGGACTGGGGAATAAATCATTTTGGTGTTCCGTGTAAATACAGAATGCATTTCAGACAAATGCAATATTAAGCTGATGTGTCCCTCTCAGATGTTTTGAAAAAGTTTGTAGAGCAACCAACTTCCTTCAGCACACTTTGAAATTAATACAAGTCAATCTCCAGATTTATGAAAAGGAAAATTAAATTCCATATTTACCTTCATCTACAAGCTTTTCTGGTGCTCTGACTTTATCTGCATATAGTTCAGTATTATCTGCACCTTTATGAATGGGTTCCAGCTTCAGGATTAAAACATCCAACTCTGTTGTTAGAGCTATGTACCCAGCACAAAATGCTACTTCTGTAGGGGTGACGTTATCGATGTGCAAAATTAAGGAAAGTTTAAAATCCAATACAGTCAGATCCTGATTTATGACAAGATATTTCAAGCAGAACATGACCAGTTTATTTTTGCAGCCAACAAGAAGATCTCCGTTTACAGGACAACACGAAATGCACAATGGTGGATCTGAAAGAGGCATTTCCACAATTGACATCTGGACTTTAGAAGATTCACTGTATGACTCTTCCATCTTGTGACCCACCATCCGGACACAAACTCGAGTGTTCCCTGTTGACATGCATCTCCAGTTCATATAAGCTCGTAGGAAGGTGGCCTTGTTTTTCTCCTCAATTGTCACCAAATAATCTCCTGAAAAGAGACCAACAATACTGTGGTAACACTAACCCATAGATGAGATATAATTTATGCTGTTTGCATCCTATTGCTGCTAAATCCAATGCACTTTGACTAAAAGAATTATGGAATTAAGCAAGTTTGTAAAATCTGTCTGAAATGTTATTCTTGTTACCAGATAATTTTCTTTAATAAAAAGGGTTAAAAAAACTAGAAGCACAGTTAATCTTATAAACTCCTACATCATCATACAAGCAATGTAGTGATAGAGGATTCCTACCCCAATGAAAGACAATTTGTTTGCCAGGGTTCTGTGCTATTGTCAGCAGTACTTAATAATAAATTACAATACTTTTAATGTGAATTATCTAGGCCAGCATGCACTTGAGAAGTTTATGTAGATCTGGAGTATACTTTAGAGAGAGTGTACTAGTACATACGTTCTGAAATTTTTTTAAAATTACCATCCAATCTAGACTTCAGTAGGTGCACAAGTGCTTTTATTCCCTAATCCTAGTATTACTTTTTCTTGCTAACCAGAAGAAAAGTTTCCAGAGACCTCTTTTGAAACAGAAGTCAAGACTACAATAAAATGTACTCCAAGAACAGTGTAGTCAACACCTCCGTCCTTTTCCAGGCGGATCATTTTACCATCCTGTAGTTCAATCTTTAGTTTTAATCATGGGAAAAAACTCAGCTACGAGGAAAGAGTTCAGTCTGAAGGGTGGGGGGGGAAGGAGGGGAGGATTATCCTCTTACTAAAAATAAATTCAGCAGAATATGCAAAAGCAGCATATATGCTTAAAAAAAAAAAAAGTCTCCTGTTTAGGTTCACACTTAATAGACAATATGTTTACCCTGAAAACAAATCTTTATAACGATCAAGGTGTTGATGGCAGTGGTGTATGTTTTAGGCTGAACGGCAAACTGCAAGTTGTTTTCCAAGGAGTCAAAAACTTGTTTGAAAGATTCCAAAAGAGGTAATATTGTGAAAATATGGTACTTAAGAGCCTGAGAAATCTGAGCTGAACATTTCTTAGCCAGAGTGAAGCACATCCTAAGTACCATAAAAATATCTCCTTCCACACTCCATAGGCAAAGTCACCCACTGCTCACTACAGTTCTGTATCCCATGGCTCCATTGGTCCCATAGCTCTAGCTCAGAGCCAAAGAAGAGTCCTTAGAATTCAATGGCTCTTTCTAACCTTTCTTTCTGTGGCACTTGAGAGCTCATCCAGTCCCTGATCCTGCAATCAGAACTGTGCCATGAGTCCCGTGAAATCCCCTTCCATCCATCCCCATCATTTTCAACAAAGGAGGAATCAAACGCAATCATACATCTTGTATTGAAAGAATCTCCTTTTGCTTGGGGGAAGGGCTTGTTCAATGAACAGGGGAAGCAGCTGAAAAACCGAGATCGGAAGGTGGAACAAACAGAAGAAACAACGCCTGAAAAAGAGCTCTGTGTAACTGGAAAGCTCGTTTCTCTCACCAACAGCAGTTGGTCCAATAAAAGATACTGGCTACCTCACCCTCCTTGTCTCAAAAGAACCAAGTCATTTTCAGTGGCACAGAGCTGAGGAAGGGCTGTACTTCCCTATCGGCCCCAACAGGCTGCTACTGGCCTAGTCCTTTCCAGCACGACCCTGAGTTTTGCAAGACGAAACTGCATTCACAGGACCCAGAAACTCTGACAACATCGCTTTGGGCACATCACCTTGTACCCCCTGCGCAGGGTCACCCCACCTTCCCGCCGCATCCCCACAGGGTACGATGGCTCCGTGAAGACACCGGAGATTGCCCCACGGAGCTGGTGCCGCCCCAGTCCCGGCTCTTACCCGCCTCGCTGTATGCCATGTGCAGCACCCGGCCCAGCGTGTTGAAACAACCGAGCGGCTCGCAGAGCTCCTGGTCGCCCACGGCAAACGCCTCTACCTTGCAGCCGGCCGCCGCGCAGGCCACCAGCAGCGCATCCCGGCCGCAGCAGAACAGCGCCGGCTCCTGCTTGCTGGGCACCACCTGCTGCGAGCCGAATGGGTGCAGGTTGTAGAGCTGCACCATGGTGCCCTCCTGACCGGGGCACCGGAACCAAACCGCATTCCACGGCCCAGGGCAGGCTGCAGCCCGGGGACCCCCAGACACCGACTCCTCCCGCACAGCCTCAGAGAGCAGGGGAGACTGCCCCTTCCGCAACATGCGCCGCCCTGTCCCGGTCAGGTGGGGAGAGGCGTCAGCGCCAGCCGGTGCTTCCCAAAGGGGCAGCAGCTGCATTGGAGCCCAAATGAGCTCAGGCCTTGGGAGGGTATATATGTGCTCAGCTAGGGGGTGCACACTTTTGTGGGTGTATTAGTTACGCGTGCATGTGTGTTAGCAATGCATGTCCGTGTGAGCGTGCGCGCACAACTGTTAGTGCACGCATCGTGCGAGGATCTACATCTGCGAGTGCTAGTGTGCATATTAGTGCCCGCACTTGTGTAAACATGCATGTCAGTGTTTTATATCTGTGTGCGCACCAGTGTGCTTGCACGGCTATTAGTGTCCGCATTTGTGTGGGTTATAGTGTGCATATCACAGCATGGGCGTATATCTCTGTGTTAGCATGTCTGTCAGTGTGTACTGTACTTATCCATGTCTTGACAGGCACACATCTATCTGGTACCTTACTGAGGCAGACTTAGAGAGACATGCTTCTGAGTGATAGGCCAAACACAAAAGGACTTTTGATATGTCTGAGGCAGGGTTGGGACAGACACGCACCAGAGTTGGAAATAGTGTTTCTGGAGCAAACAGAGATGTTGCTGCTGAATGAAGGTGTGGAGACACAGGTCTTTAGCTGGAGTTCAGAAAGTGGAATCACATGTGTGAAACTTGCTGTTTCTTTTATCTTTACTGAAAGGCAAAAATACTTGTGAATAAAATAGAGTAGAAATAAAGTATTCTGTATCTGCTCATTGTTCTTCCTATGATGAATTAAACACTCCAAAAGCCCAACTTTTCTTTAGCGACTCAGAGGTCTGGACAATGAGGAGCATAGATGAGAATTTTAGAACTTAAAAGCAAAGAAATGGCAAGTTTTTCAGTGCAGTTGTTCTTTTCTTTGTTAGGCATGTTCTATCTCTTGTGGACTCAGCAAATAAATATTTACAAGTACTTCTAAAATACATATAATTTACCTTTGGATGGCTTTATAATTGCTTTACTGACACCTATAGAACCTAAAAGATCTTCATATGTGCATAGTATGTTTTCTCTCCTCTGGCTTTTAAAGCTTTTCCTTTTGTGCCAGATATCTGGTTATAGAAACAAAAAGATTAGATTGTTTTTCTCCAATGCCTCAGGCATACAGAATCAGTTGCAACCAAGATAGTCACTAGGATCTTCAGCTGAGAGTCATATGATTATATATCTTTGCATTCTCTATAAATCAACATGAATTGCACTTGCTCTCACATGACATTTCAAAAGTTTTCTCTAATCCCTTAATGGGATATGATCTGAAAAGCCTATTGGAACTGAATAAAGCCCCTTCGCAAAGAAAACTTCAGTATAATGAAAAGATCCTGAGTTTAATTTATCTAATGATGTATTTCCAGACACTTTAAAAAAGAAAACAGTTAAAGGAGGCAAGGATAAATATTAGGGCTGTCAAATGATTGAAAAAACCCTCAGTCCTGAGATTAAAAAATAGTCGCTATTAATAGCAGTTTTAATCATACTCTTAATAATAGAATGCCAAATTAAATTCAGCATGGAAGCATGTCCTCTGGAATAGTGGTCGAAGCATGAAGGGGTATACGAACATTTAGCATATGTGGTACGTAAATACCTTGCAATGCCAGCTACAACAGTGCCATGCGAATGCCTGTTCTCACTTTCAGATAACATTGTAAATAAGCGAGGAGCATTATCTCCTGTAAATGTAAACAAACTTGTTTATCTTAGTGATTGGCTGAACAAGAAGTAGGACTAACTGAACTTGTAGGCTCTAAAGTTTTGTACTGTTTTGGTTTTCAGTGCAGTTATATATAAAAAAGAAATTCTTCATTTGTAAATTGTACTTTCACAATAAAGAGATTGTACTATAGTACTTCATGCGGTGAATTGAAAAATACTGTTTCTGTTTATCTTATTTACAGTGCAGATATTTATAATAAAAATAATATAAAGTGAGCACTGTATACTTTGTATTGTGTTGTAATTGAAATCAATATATTTGAAAATGTAGAAAAACATCCAAAAATATTTATAATAAATTTAAATTGGTATTCTATTTTTTAACAGTGTGATTACTCAGTGTAGCAAGTCATGGCGTCAGATTCCATCAGGTGGTTGAGGGACATCTATTTAGAACACATCACTGGACATCGGCAATACCAGGAGAGATGAGCTGAAGTGCCATTGAGAAGCAAAGTCGAGAAAATAACTGGAATACTTCTCTGATGGATTGTATCTACTGAAGGACAACCTATCCTAAATGCTGCACTCATTGCTATATTTGCTTTCCACAAGCTACTCTCTGTATAACCTTTCATGAGTGCTGTACCCAAATATTTGGATGCTAATATCTAAATTGTATAGTTTATTAACCTAAATTTAGGTTATTGCAAGTTATGTAGTATATGTATTGCATTACTTTTAAATCAAATTTTGTACTTTTGGACAATTTAAGCACTATGCCCAGATGTACAGACACTCTTTCCTTAACCTGTGTATTATATAATTTTAACACTAGCTTTAATTAAAAAAAAATTAAATTACCATGTGAAAAGTTAGTGTCTATAGCCGGGGTCGGCAACCTTTGGCACACGGCCCATCAGGGTAATCCGCTGGTGGGCCACGAGACATTTTGTTTACATTGACCATTCGAAGGCATGGCCCCCCCACAGCTCCAAGTGGCCGCGGTTCGCCATTCCCGGAGATCCATTTGGTGAGGGAAAAGAATTATTGGCCTGAACTTGAGGCTTTAGAAGTAAAAAGAGAATCCTTCCATTTACATCAATGGGCTTTACTAGAATACAGCTTAAATGCATTCAGAGAACCACTAGCTCTCTACTTTTATTTTTTGGGGAAAATATAATTTCCAGGAGTAAAAATTAATATGGAATTTTAAAAACTGAGACATCTTAAACCTAGCAATCTTTCAGTGTCCTGTCATCAAAGGAAAATCATATCAATAGGGACATCGGCTGGTCAGAAAGCGGTACTCCAAGAACATTTCCATTGCACACTTATGTCCTATTTTTTTCCTTTTGAAAGTTGTAATTTTTATTTGAATAGTTCACTGGTAAATAATTTGGTAATGGCTAATTTAGTTAATAAATGTAACTTCTAGGGCTGTCAATCACAGTTAACTCACACGATTAACTCAAAAAATTAATCGTGATTAAAAGAATTAATAGCGATTGATCACAGTTTTAATCACATTGTTAAACAATAGAATACCAATTAAAATTTATTAAATATTTTGGATTTTTTCTACATTTTCATATATATTGTATTCAGTGTTGTAACTAAAATCAAAGTGTCTATTATTTTTTATTACAAATATTTGCACTGTAAAAATGATAAAATAGTATTTTTCAATTCACCTCATACAAGTACTGTAGAGCAATCTCTTTGTTGTGAAAGTGCAACTTACAAATGTAGATTTTTTTTTGTTACATAACTGCACTCAAAAACAAAACAATGCAAAACTTTAGAGCCTACGAGTCCACTCAGTCCTACTTCTTGTTCAGCCAATTGCTAAAACAAACAAGTTTGTTTACATTTACAGGAGATAATGCTGCCCTCTTCTTATTTACAATGTCACCAGAAAGTGAGGAAAGGTATTTGCATGGCACTTTTGTAGCTGGCATTGCAAGGTATTTACGTGCCAGATATACTAAATATTCATATGCCCCTTCATGCTTCGGTCACCATTCCAGAGGACATGCTTCCATGCTGATGATGCTCTTTAAAAAAATAATGCTTTAATTAAATTTGTGACCAAACTCCTGGGGGGAGAATTGTATGCATTCTCCTGTTTTACCCGCATTCTGCCATATATTTCATGTTATAGCAGTGTCAGATGATGAGCCAGCACATGTTCATTTTAAGAACACTTTCACTGCAGATTTGACAAAATGCAAAGAAGGTACCAGTGTGAGATTTCTAAAGATAGCTACAGCACTCGACCCAAGGTTTAAGAGTCTGAAATGCCTTCCAAAATCTGAGAGGACGAGGTGTGGAGCATGCTTTCAGAAGTCTTAAAAGAGCAACACTCTGATGCAGAAACTACAGAACCCGAACTACCAAAAAAGAAAAATCAACCTTCTGCTGGTGGCATCTGACTCAGATAATTAAAATGAACATACGTCAGTCCGCACTGCTTTGGATTGTTATCAAGCAGAACCCGTCATCAGCACACATGTCCCCTGGAATGGTGGGTGAAGCATGAAGGGACATATGAATCTTTAATGCAGGGGTAGCCAACCTGTGTCTCAGGAGCCACATGCAGCTCTTCAGAAGTGAATATGTGGCTCCTTGTATAGGCACTGAGTCCAGGGGTGGAGCTACAGGCGCCAACTTTCCGATGTGCCAGGGGGTGCTCACTGCTCAAACCCTGACTCTGCCACAGGCCCTGCCCCCTCTCCAGCCCCTTCCCGCCCCCCTCCCCTGAGCCTGCCATGCCCTCGCTCCTCCCCTCTCCCCCAGAGCCTCCTGCTCACCACAAAACAGCTGATCGGGAGGTGCAGGGAGGGAGGGGGAGGTGCTGATCGGCAGAGTTTCCGGTGGGTGGGAGGCGCTGGGAGCGGGGGAGTTGATACGGGGCTGCTGATGTATTACTGTGGCTCTTTGGCAATGAACATTGGTAAATTCTGGCTCCTTCTCAGGCTCAGGTTCCTCCTTTAATGTATCTGGCACATAAATATCTTCAAATGCCGACTACAACAATGTCATGTGAACGCCTGTTCTCACTTTCAGATGACATTGTAAACAAGAAGCATGCAACATTATCTCCTGCAAACAAACAAACTTGTTTGTCTGAGCAATTGGCTGAACAAGAAGTAGGACTGAGTGGACTTGTAAGCTCTGAAGTTTTACATTGTTTTATTTTTGAATGCAGTTTTTTTGTACATAATTCTACATTTGTAAGTGCAACTTTCATGATAAAGAGATTTCACTACAGTACTTGTATTAGGTGAATTGA